ACAGTTACTACTGTAAACCGTACTTCAGAGTACATGGAGAACAAAATTCCCCTTCTAGGGAGTACCTGTTCTTCTTGTGGTATCTGGAGGAGAGGACGTAGTCCATAACTTTTCTGGGTCAGCCTCTCCCTGCCTGACATAAGTTGTGATTGCAGTCAAGCACGGGTCTGACATACATGATCTTATCAGCTTAGTGGCTGCTCTTGTCTGTGCAATCAGCAGGCCCAAGTCTAGGAAGTGGGAGTTGTAAGTAGGAGTATTTTCTGGGAAGAACTGTCAGCAAGAGCCAAAACGAAGAATTCTCTATCTTTGCTGCACATCCCATAAGTAGGAAGAGAACTGTGGAAGCTCTGAACTTTCAGGAGGCAAAACTTGAGCTGAATCTTTCTGCCAGCCTTTCCTAGCTGGGAATTTGTGTATGAGTTGGCTGGAGCCAGTTCTGGATGGCATTGTGTGCTTGCTTTTCTTCCTGTAATACAGAGCTATTCATACAGCCAGGAGGGACACTGTCAGATTCTGGCAGTGATCCAGTTACTGCTTCATTAAGGGATGGGAACTATCAAGCAGAAGTACTGGCCAATGGATCATGAGATTCAAGATGGAGATAAGTACTGTCCAAGGTGATGCTGGCAAAGTTTTCAGGTCTCCCTGGTGATCCATTAGGCTGCTAGAAACAAGCAATCATAATGAGGCTGTCATTCTTTCTCTGCCTCCACAGACTGTGACCTTAAATAGCACCACACAACTTGGTTGTTATGATCTCATGCTTGGCAGTGGTCTCCTTAAACTCTGGTCAATGCAGTCAATAATTCTCCATGAAGTCTGATGCACTGCTTTGTGTTTGCAGATGGCGGTGCTGGAAATACAGGGTAATGGAGAGTCGTCCTACGTGCCCCAGGAGGCCATTAACAGTGCCATCCAGCTGCTGGAGGACCCCTTGCAGAGGGTGAGTGAGGAGGGATCAGTGGCCCTGAAGACATATGGGCATTTACACATGGTCTCATCAAAGTTTTGTTTTTCAGGAGTTCATTCAGAAGTGTCTAGAGCAGGACCCTGGCAAACGTCCTACTGCCCGGGAGCTCCTTTTCCATCAGGCGTTGTTTGAGGTGCCATCACTAAAGCTACTGGCTGCTCACTGTATTGTTGGACATCAGCGTGAGTATGGACTCCTAGGTTGCCACATTCCTGCATTCTTGTGAAGCTTCCCTAAGTTGTCAGTACATCTGGCAGCCTGGAAAGCAAGGCCTTCATGCTGCTTTAGACAGGGACCAGGGCCTTGTGAAACAGACCTGTGGTCACTGCAGAGCCTGGAGGACTATGGTTCCCTGCCTGTTTGAGTGACTTTAACAGCCTAAAGCCTCTGAGGTTTTTATTGCTTTTCTTAGGTTGGAAAGGAATTGCAGTTGTTCTAACTTTTGTTTTGATAGATATGATTCCTGAAAATGCTTTAGAAGAAATGACCAAAAACCTTGACATGAGTGCTGTGTTGGCAGAGATTAACCATGTGGACAGGGAAGGAGTCAAGATGATGTGAGTACCTTGTGGTGTGCCTGGAGGGAACTGCTCAGGTGCATGTGGAACAGATGCCAGGGCACTGGGGTGTGAGCACTGATGGATCTGTCTGGGACTCTGCCCTTCAAGTTAGTGATGAAATACCAACACTATGAAACAGAAGGGAGTTGGTGGGTGCTGGTGGTGAAGGGCACAAAAGATTCTGTGGAGGGTAACTCCTGGGTGGAAGAAGATCTTGCACTCGTCATATGTACAGGTCCCATGCAGCTGAGATGTGAATTGTTCCCCAGATGGAAGTTAACACACTGTAGTTGGAACAGTCCTGAGCAAAACCTGATTGAACAGGTTGGGAAAGTGGCTCTGATCAGTCACAGGCTTGTCAGATGAAGTCCAGCATGTTGGAGAAACGGTTCCTTGGTGTTTTCTTAATGGAGCAGCTCATTCTACAATATGCAAGGGGAAAAGCTGTTTTCAGCAGCTATCAGTAACACAAAGCAGCCATTTAAACTATAGAGGTGGCTCCCTAAGTAAGCATATGGAGGAAGTAGAATGCCAAAAAGTGATGTTAAATTTTGGATAGTGAAATCTTTCCTGGTTGAGGGGTTAGCTGAAAAGAATGAGATACAGATACTGTATTATCAGAGAAGACCAGGGTGCTTTCAGGGTAGCCCAGCATCCTGGGGTGCTCAGGCTACTGAACTGACAGTAGAACATGTAGTGATAGTCCAAGGGGGACTGGGTTTAAACTGCAAGAGGGAAGATTTAGATGAGCTCTTAGGAAGAAGTTCTTCCCTGTGGGGGTGCTGAGGCCCTGGCACAGGTTGCCCAGAGAAGCTGTGGCTGCCCCATCCCTGGCAGTGTTCAAGGCCAGCTTGGACAGGGTTTGGAGCAACCTGGTCTAGTGGAAGGTGTCCCTGCCCATGGCAGGGGGTTGGAACTGGGTGAGCTTTAAGGTCCCTTCCCACCTAAACCATTCTATTATTCTATGAAGTTAGCTGTACGTGTACACATACAAAGTTGCAACCTTTGTCAAGAGTCCTGAAAGAAAGCTGACTTCACCGGGGGGCTGGAAGTCATTGTCATCACATGGAAGAACTCTATGTCCTTGAGGGTGAGAAAGGAAGAGCAGTAGACATATGACAAGTTATGGCACAAAGGGGAGAGGCTGTCAGTGCTTACTGTCCTCTGTCAGCAAGGAGGGTGTTCAATAGACTTATTGGCTAGGGAATTAAAAATTAATTCATAGGAAGATTTCCTGTGGGATGTGACCCTAAGAAGCCAGCAAGATGAACAAACAGCCTGGGAAAGAAATTAGAGAACAGAAAGTATCCCAAACTCCAGTGAGAAATATTTGGGCAGAGCATTACATCCTGAAGTATAGATTCTAGTGTCTGGTCTGGAGAGAAATGGCTGGTTATACTGTGCCATCAGCTGCTGCAGAGGTCCTTGCCTTTGCAGTGCTGTGTGCCCTTGCTCTTCTTGAGATGGGACATGGCTTCATGGATCTGCTATAACGGATGTCTTTGAAAAACCTTGCTAGGAGCATGGTGTCATTGGGCTCCCAAATAATTGTTTGCATTGGACAACTTTGTACAGGGAAGTGATATGTGTTCTGCCATAATAAAAATGCTGCCTCATCCTTAGCTTCTATGAATAGTTGTTTCCTATACAGGAAGATTGAAGTCTGTATAACCTCTGGCTGGCTGCCTGTCTGTACTCATCCTGCCCATTGACGCAGCCATAGTCTAGGACACACGGATTTGAAACTGCATCTGAAGGGATTTGAATGGATGGTTCTGTTGGATAACTTTTCATCTCAGTATTTCATTTTATTCTTTTTTATTGCCAGCTTCTCACAGTCTCCAGCACTGGAGCTGGACAAGTTCTTGGAGGATGTAAGGTGAGACACTGGGCAACTTTAACTCTCTGTGAGACTGGGAAAGTTCCAAGGAGGCATAACCTCAGGCCTTGCTTCTTTCCTGTAGGAACGGCATCTACCCACTCACAGCTTTTGGGATGCCACGACCCCAGCAGCCCCAGCAGGTAGTGGTGAAATCGCCCATTGCTCCACCATCAGTGAAAACCCCAACTCCAGAGCCTGCTGAAGTGGAGACCCGCAAGGTGAGCAGTGAGAGCCGCATTCCTCCTCCTCTCAGCCAGTTGTGTTGCACAGCAGCAGCCAGTCAAGGGGTGTTCTCTGCTTCTGTTTCAGGTGGTGCTGATGCAGTGCAACATTGAGTCAGTAGAGGAGGGAGTGAAGCATCATGTATGTTCCCACCTTCTGTCTGAGAATGCTGGGGGGGGGGGGGGTTGTACCAGGGCAGCTGTGCAGAGGTCATAGCTTCAGTATGCTGGTGTGATGCTGGTACCTGGTGGGACCCTCTGCAGATCCTTGGAACCCCAAGCCAGGTCCAGGCCTGTGCCTGTGGCAAATCTGGCACATAGAAGTGTTTTTGGCCCACCCTCAGATTCAGGCTTCCTCCACAGGATGGTGCTGCTGGCTCTGGTGTGGGATGGACCTGGATGTGGTTGCTCTGTTTAAACTACCATGGGGCTCTGGAGGGGTGTGGTTCCTGCACTGATGGGGCTTTCTGGGGATTCTTCTGCCTGTGGCACCCTGCAAAACTGCAGTCCCTCATGAGAACTTCTCTACCCTGCAGTTAACACTGCTGCTGAAACTGGAAGACAAGTTGAATCGACACTTGAGCTGTGACCTGCAGCCCAGTAAGTACCTTCTATTCCCATGCTTTGGTGCACTGGGGAAAGCAGTGCACTCTGATCTGAGACTTCCGTCCTTCTGTGTTTTGCAGATGATAACATCCAAGAGCTGGCAGCTGAACTGGTCCAGCTTGGATTCATCAGTGAGGTAAGCACACTTGAGGCTCAGGTAGGGGTATAGGTCTGCATTCCTTTGTCATACATCACTGGTTTATGCCAGATTAGCCCTTTCTAGGTGTGGAGGTAGAAGAAGTGAGACATGTCCTTGCCTGTGTTCCCTGACCGACTCCAGCCAAGCTCTTAGCTTTGTGTGAACTGGGCCAACCCCTCACTGTAGCTTGTTCTTCCCAGGCTGACCAGAGCAGACTTACCTGTTTACTTGAAGAGGCATTCAGCAAGTTCTACTACACCCGGAACGGAGCCCTAACGGCAGTGACAGTGTCATCTTAGCACACCTCGGCGCCCAGGCGGCCAGTGCAGCTTTGTTGCCTGTGACCCCTTCTGTGTCTGTCCATCACTGTAGGGCATCAGCAAGACCCCAGCTGCAGTGCTTGGAAGCTCATCCTGCATGTGCCGTGGCTGGGCTCAGCAACAGTCCTCCCTGTCCACCTATTAAAGGGGACTTTGCGCATCAGTATTATTTCCAGCCCTGTTTCTGTTGGGATTTTGCCAGGTGGTGCTGTGGAGCTGGGTCCTGGCTTTGGGGTGCTCTGTAGCCCCATTCATGTGCATGGAGTTTGTTCTGTTTGAATTGTACAAAGTGTCTTTTGCACAGCACAGAAACGGTTAGTTTGGGTTTTTTGTTTGGTTTTTTTTTCCTTTTTTTTTTTAATTTAAAGGTAAGCAGGGGTGAGCCCCTAAGCCCTGCCTCCCCCCTCCCTGCACCCACCACTCACTCCCCTCCTTCCCGGGTACAGGGAGCCAGGGGTGGCCGGGCTCCCCCACCTCCTGCCTGGCGCTTTGCCTGCCTTTTCTGCTCCCATGGGCTGCACTTTGTTTACTCGTTTTGCACAGCTGCTCAGCCCTGCACATGGCCATGCCCTGGACGTGCAGCGCTGCGGCCTGTGCCGACCCACACGGGGCCGCGTCCCCTGCAACTGCCCGGAGCCCGGTGTTGGCCCAACCCGTCCCGCTCTCCCCGGGCTTGAGGGGGAGCCGGGGGGCAGCTGCAGCGCTGGGACCTGCCCCACAGGCCCCTTATTTTCCCCCCCGTCCTGGGTGCGTGGCGGGGCTGAGCCCGCGGTCCCGCTCCTGCATCTCATTTCTATCATTTCCTATTTTTAATAAACTGTTTTGTAAATACGCGAGTGCTGCCTCTTTCCGGGTCGGGGCGCGGGGAGGTGGAGCGGGCTCGGCCCTGCCCCGGGGCGGTGCCGGCGGCTCCCGGCGGGACGGTGGAGCCGGTGTCGGTGTTATGGCCGGTGGTCGGTGCCTGGTGGAGCCGCGGCGATTGATGCGCTCCGGGCTGGGGCTCATCGTGCTGGGGCACGGCGGCCTGGCGCTGGGAGCCATCGTGCACGGCTCCGTCCTGCGCCATGTGGCCGGCACCAGCCGCGCCGTCACCCCCGCTTACGCGGTGGCCAACGTGGTGTCGGTGGTCTCGGGGCTGCTGGTGAGAGCGGCGGGGCCGGGCAGGGCTGGGCCGGGCTGGGGAAGGGGGGAGCCGGCCCCGCGGTGAGCGCGGATCTCTTCCTCGTAGAGCATCGCCGCGGGCATCGTCGCCATCCTGGTGTCGCACAACCTGTCCCGGGCAGCGCTGGTGAGTGCGGGGCCGCGGGGGGCAGCAGATGCGGGACAGACGGGGGGGGGGGGGATCCGGGCTCGGCGCGGCCTCTGCTCCCGCAGCAGCCGCTCCCCTGGACCTTGTCCCCGGCGGCTTCTTCCGCCTCGGCGGCTGAGCCCCGGGAGGGCGGCACGAACACTTCAGCCGGGGGTGAAGGTGTAGCCGGGGTCCGGCATCCCCCCACGGGCTGCGTGCTGCAGGGGGGGGCCCGGCCTGTGCTGGGGCTCCCCAGCCGAGGCAAGTGGCTGCCTGGGAGCAGCAAGGGATGCAGAAGGTGCAAAAGCCTCCTCCGAGCGCAGGGCTGAGCAGAGCTGGGACGTGCAGGAGATTGCCTGTGCACTGCGGAGCGGCTGTGGGGTGCCTGGCCCCATGCAGTGGCAGTGCCGACCCCCGGCATGTCCCCAGCTTTGGCCAGCCCCGATCTCACCTGTTCTCCTGCTGCCTGCAGCACTGGGCCCTGCTGAGCGTGTCCCTGCTGAACTGCCTCCTGTCCACAGCGTGCAGCGTGGGCCTGGCGCTGGCCATCGCCCTCACCATCAACAGCCGGGGCACGCACCTCATCACCGGCTGCAACAGCTCTGCGCTGCCTGCTGACGCCCGTGCAGCCATAGCGACCAACGACTGTCCCTTCAACACCACTCGCATCTATGTGAGTCTGCAGGGCCACCACGCACCGCACCCCTACTCTTGCCACTCCTTCGTGCCTCTGCTTCATCTTTGTTTCTTTCTCTTCCCTTTCTTCTTTCTTTTACTTCACAGAATCATGGAATGGTTTGGGTTGGAAGGGACCTTAAAGCTCACCCAGTTCCAACCCCTTGCCATGAGCAGGGACACCTTCCACTAGATCAGGTTGTTCCAAGCCCCATCCAACCTGGCCTTGAACACTGCCAGGGATGGGGCAGCCACAGCTTCCCTGGGCACCCTGTGCCAGGGCCTCACCACCCACTCAGGGAAGAGCTTCTGCCTAAGATCTAACCTGAACTTCCCCTGTTTCAGATTAAACTCCTTATCCCTTGTCCTGCCACTATGATCCCTGATGAAGAGTCCCTCTCCAGCATCCTTATAGGCTCTCTTCATATGAAAGCTGCTATGAGGTCTCCATGCAGCTTCTCTGCCCAGGCTGAACAGCCCCAGCTTTCTCGCTGACTCTCCCATGTGCAACCCTCTCTCTGCCACTCTCTCTCCCTCCTGCTCCCTTTCTTTCTCTTTCTGCCCCCCTGCACAGCCTCTGCTCAGCTGCATGGGCCAGGCTGGGTGCAGTGGAGCATGCAAGCCTCCCTGTGGGACCTCCAACCCTCTGCCCCACAGGACACAGCCCTGGCACTCTGGTTCCCCTCCATGGTGCTGGCAGCCACAGAAGCTGTGCTGTCTGGCAGGTGCTGTTTGGTGGCTCTGATCTTCCGGGGCATCGGGCCCTGTTCACGCAGCTACACCAAAGAGCAGGTATGCACCATCCATCCGGATGGCTCTCCCTCCTCTGCCCCATCACTGCTGCCTTTTTGCAGCACTATGAAGGTGCTGGGTTCTATTGGGCCTGTGTTCCCACACAAGCAGGCAGTCAGCAATGGGAGGGAGGGAATGTCAAGTTTGAACCTCTCCTGGGAGACAAACTGGCACCTTTTCATCGTAGGTAGTTGCAGAGGGACCCTCCTCCTCATCCCTCTGATAGCTAAACCTGTTCTGTCTTGGCTATCCTGAGTGAATCCTATCCCCCCAACCTGACCCAGCTCTTCACACATCCCCTCTTTTTGTTTGGGTTCTTTTCCCTCTCTCCAGCTGGCTGGACCAAGTACAGCAAAGGAGGGGCCGCCACGCGAGATGCAGCAGCTCCTGCCAGGGCTGGCTGAGTCCTGTACCTAGCTGGAGAAGTGAGTGCAGTGCACAGGCTATGCCTGGGGTGATGGGAGGGCCCCTGGAATGCCTCTTTCCAAGTACATGCTCCAGATACTGGGCCAGAGGTACTGGTGTGATGCCCGGCCCTGCAGCACTCACACATACTCTTTCACTCCCAGGTAGTGCTGAAGGAGCGCTGTGACTCGGTGAGGTGAAGTTGCACCTGCACCGTGCTCCTGCTCCTGTTCTAGGTGTGGGTAGGGTGGGCTGCAGGGGGTAAGGGGTCTGCCTGCCCCACCAGCCCCACCACCCCACCTGGGACAGACCCGGGTTCCAGACACAAGCTGCCCATGGTCACCAGCCAGCCTCTGTCCAGCAGGTGCTGTGCGCCCCAGACACTGTCCCCTTCTGTCCCCAAGCTTCAGGGCCCTTCAGGGCACACTGAAGGCTCCATCGATCTTTTACACGCAGCGATGGGGGCAGGCAGAGGTGCAACAGGCAGGGGCCTGGTGGCCCTGCTGCACAGCAGGCAGGGTCAGCTCCCTGTACCTGTGCTCAGGTAGAGCAAGGAATGGAAGGTGAAGAATCCCTTTATTGTGAGCCTCTGTTGTTTCCCTGAGTAAATAAACTTTTATACTGACTGCTCTGAGTGCTTCCCAGGGGATATGACTTCTGGGCCCTGATGGAGTGACAATGCAGCTGGGATGTAAGCCCATCTCCATGCTCACCCCCTCACAAGGCACAGGGATCAGTCCCAGCGTGACCATCATGGTGGCAGGTGCATATTTAGCATAGCTAGGTTGAGGCTGAGACATGCATGTGTACAGGGTTATAGCCCTGTGCAGTGGGAATCATCTGTGTTCCTGGGCTCTGCATCCCTTGACAAACAGGAGCACAGCAGGGTTAAGAAACTTGTTTATTGAGGGTGGAAGTGGAGGGTGCTGAAAAACGGGACTGAAAGCTGCCATGGTCCAGCTCACTGGAAAGAGAAGTTGGTGCTCGGGAGTCCCCCACACCACTGGCTGAGGAACTTGAGCACATCTTGGCACGCAGGGCTGTGGGATGTCTGCAGAAGGAAAGAGGCCTTGGCACTGGCAAGGGGACACTGCCATCACCCCCCACCCAAGGGCACCCCTGGGGGCTGACAGAGCTGCACAGGCAGGGCTGGCCCTGCCCCAGCACTGTAAGTGAGGTTAATCCCCACCCAGCAGCATACAGGGGGGTGCATTAAAAACTTCCCCAGTCAGCATATCTTCACCCAGCGGGACAATGTTTTACCGTCAGCATGAGGGGTTGAACACCCTGCAGCCTGCCTCCTTGCCCCATGGGGTGCCTGGCTCACCTTGACAGCCATCAGGAACTTGTTCCACGTGTCCTTGTCGGCTTCTCGGCCTGGCCGCTTGAAATCTATCTTGTTTCTTAGCACAGGGTACCCTGGTCATACAGTGACACCTTCAGAAACACAGACCCACAGCAGACCCCTGCCTTGGGCACCCCTTCCCTCTCCGCCTTAGCCAGCTGGTGAGGGCTGCTCCCACAGGGCAGAGCAGGGGTACAATGCCACCTCTGGCTTTTAAGAGACCAGAATGACGGAGTGCCCACTGTGGCAGGGTCAAAGGAACATGAAGGCTGAGCTGTCCTATACCCAAGTGAATATATCCAATGATAGCACTCCACCTCCCGAACTTCAGAGCCAGACTGATGGTGGCCCACTCGTGCTGCCCCATTCACTGAACCCACTCTTTAAGTCCTGCACCACTAATCCCTTGCTGAAGTGTGCAAATGGGGATGGTACTCCCTGGAATAGATGGGTTTTGTGGAGCAAGGGCAAAGTAGGAGAGGAGCTACATGTGTGCGTGTGTGTCAGTGCAGGCCAGCCTGGACAGTCTCCTAGGTGATGCTGTGCCAGACTGAGTGGTCACAGAATCACAGAAACACAGTATGGTTGAGGTTGGAGGTGATCTCAGGTCTATATATGGTCCAATGCCTGTGCTTGAGCAGGGCCACACACAGCCAGTTGCCCAGGCCCATGTCAAGGTGACTTCCAGCTGTCTCTATGGAGATGTGCAATATGTTCCAGTGCTCCACCACCCTCACAGTAAAAAACCCTAGAATCCCAGGTTGGAAGGCCCTAAAGGATCATCTGGTCCAACTTTTCTAGGCAAAGCATGAGCTAGACTAGATGTCCCAGCACCCTGTCTGGTCAAATCTTACGTGTCCAATGTTTGGGGGTCCACCACTTCCCATTATTCCAATGGCTGTTTGTTGTGAAAAATTTTCCTCATGTCCAAGAGGAAAAAATTCAGCAGTAACTTGTGCCCATCAACCCTCATCTTTTCCATGTAGCTCCTTGTAAAAAGGGAGTCTCTATCTTTGTATCCACCCTCTGAATACTGGAACATGGGGATAAGGTATCCCCGGGGTCTTCTCAAGGCTGAACAGACCTAGTTAGCCCTTCCTCACACAGCAGGGTTCTTCCATTTCCTCCAGCAGAACAGCTTCCTACACACAGTCCCCCTCCTCCTCTTCCAGCAACTCCCTCCCAGATGCCCCCCTGCAACATGTTCTCACTCCCCGCATGTCCCCATATTCCCTTCCATATGTGTGAGCTGGGCTGGAGCTTACCTGTAAGCACACAAGGCAGGGAGCGCACCCCTGTGTTTGCTGCCACCAGGGAGGCTTCATAGGTATCCCGTTCATCCTGCGGCAGCACCTGCTCCAGCCGCTGGTCCATGGACATGGTGAGCACCCAGTCCCTGACCTCCTCTCGCTGTTCCTCCTGCGGGGCAGAGGAGATACTGCACGCTGTGCCCCTGGCCAGGTGCTGCTCTGTGCTGCACTAGGGAGAGCAGCACACACATACGGCGTATTTGGGGGCTGAGTGTGTGCATTTATACTAGGGGGAGCATAAGAGTGTGTGTGTGTGTGTGTGTGTGTGTACGGGGGCTGCGTGTGTTTGGGAGGGCAGAGGGCAGGGGGAGAGCACTGAGTACATTTCCATGTCCTGTAGTGAACGGTTGTCCCAGCCTTGCCTCAGTCCCTGTTCAGAGAGAGCCATGAAAGCAGCATCACTGTTCATGGGAGCTGAAACAGGCAGATGACACTCACAGGCACGTGCTGTTGGGCTGGAAGTGGCACTTCAAAGGGAATGTCTGTGTTTTGGAAATCAGAGTGGTCCAGAGAATCCAGGTTCCCATCTTCAATGGCCTGAGAAAGAAGAAGTGGTGGAGCACTAGGCAATGCCATCCTTGGTGTTCACAGTACAATCTGCATCCGGAGGATGGCATTACTGATGCCCCATCTATTAGTGCTGCAGCGACTGAGCCCTCCTGGGAGGTGGCATTTATGGTCACCCTCTGCAGTGTCACAGAATGTGTGCCCCTGAGACACTGTGCTACTCAAACTTGTCAGGTGGTCTCCAAGAAGGGAAAGATGAACTGGGGAGCTTTTTTATTCTCCCCAGCAGCTGCTGACAGCACTTGCCAGACTCATTCTGTAAAGTCTGACAGCTTCCTGGGGTTTGGTGTTTTCTGGTGCCCAATCTGCTAGTCAGGGAAGGAGCTGACTGGCATGGGGGACTCCTGAGTTTGTATCACAGGGGCTAAAACATTGGGCTACGGCCTCCACCCCTCAGGTAATTTCCTTCCCTTGGAACAACTTGGATAAGATCATCCTGAAAGCTGTAATGGCACCTGCAGCCATGAAGACTACAGGCCTAAACTGTCAGGACAACTTACTCCATGCTGCAGCAGTGAGGGCTGCTCAGGTGCCCTGCATAGCAAGTCCTTCCACAGCTACTGTGGGGGAATGCACACACTGAATGCTGAGCAGCGTTCAGGGCTCTCCATCAACACCAGCTCAAAGATGTGCTGCCACGCTTGAGCCTCAGAAGTACCCTGGCCAGGTTGAGGGTCCATTGTTGCCCAAGGTCCTACAGCCCATTTTAAGTATGATAGCCCCCCCTCCAGCAGACTATACGCACATCTGAGAGGTCCAGGAAGTGGTTCAGGAAGATGAAGGCCATGTTCTCCCAGTTGACTGCCTAGTAGAGAGGAACCCAGAGTGAGACCAGCAGCTTATCTTCGCAGCCACAACTGTCCTGCCTGAGTGAGGGCTAGAAAGGATGTGGTCCTGTTTGTGCTACAACATCCCACTTGCAGCACAGGTAATAGAGGAAGGCCTTCAGTGCACATGTCTGGCTGCTGGTTTACCAGTGCAGGTAAACTGCACAGGTAAAGTTAAGAAAAGGACAAGATAAGTTGAGAAACCCTGAGTCCTGTATCTTCGACCTCCTTAGTCACTCTAGTGGCAGACAGCTCTTACCTTGGCAGCTACCCCAGCTTCATAGAACACTTTGTCTGCAGGGAGCAGCTCAGTGTGGCGCAGCAGGGAAATGGACAGCTTGGCAGCCACCGTGTCCTGCAGACACAGAGGACAGTAAAGCTACAGTGTTCAGCACAGAAAAATGAGGTTGGATGAGATCATACTGCCCCAGGCTCATGGCAGGGAATTTGCACCCACATATTCCTGATATGCAACAAAGGTTGAAAATGTTGGTCCTGACCCTAAATACCCTGTGTGAACACACAGGAGGACTGTCACCTGAAGATTAAATTCTTCTGCTTTACAAAACCTTCCTATTTTTTACTGGAAGCCACATCCAAACTCCCACATCCCACTTTTGTGTGATCCCTAAATTTCTACTGGTGCTTCTGCTCTCCCAAGTGATGGCAAGCATATTGATCAGCTTCCCTCTGGTTTACATCTCAGCCTCAGTGGCAGGGGGACAGTGCCACTAGAAGGAGCCTAAATTATCTCCAGTTCCACCTGCTAGTGGTGGGCTCCCAGATGGCTGTAGTCCCATTCTCATGCATCCATAATGTGTAAGTGGTCCGTGAAGTGGAAAAGTGAATCACGGATAACCTCAAACCTGCACGTGCCCACAGTGCTCTCCACTCAGGGTGGTGATCTGGCAAAGGAACTTCAAAAACCTACCAGCTGCTTCACACCCTGAGCAGCAGAGCGGGTGGCGTAGTAGTGAGAGATCAGCAGCATCGTTTCAAACTCTTCATGTGCTGGAGTGTTTGCCTCACTTGACTTTACTATGTTTTCACACTGAAGAAGGGAAAAGGAGAATGATTAGAACATGAGAGCACAAGGATACTCTTCACCCATCTGAATCCAGGGAGAAGCTGGGAGAGAAGGATCTGAAATATCCAGGCATCACTGGGGACTAGGAAAGGGGTGGGCCTACAGAGTGCTGAAGGGAAGAGGCTGTGGGAGCTGGGGAGAACCAACAGTGCTGCAACAACAGACAGCGTTGGAAGCAGAGGCGAGTTTGAATGGATAAGGGATTTTGTTTGTGCTAGAGCTGGGTATTTATGGGACAGAAACAGCGAAGAGGCAATTACAGGCTCTGGTGAGGCATTCTGGGACAGGGAAGAAGAAGTAGAAGGCTCTAAGCTTCACTGGGGAGATGAGGAGGACTCTTACTTTCCAGGCTGAGTAGTTCTCTGCTTTCCCCAAATCGTTGCCCACCCAGGTTGCTGAATATGGGTGTAAGACAAAAAGTGGACACGTTGTGATAGGCTCCCATGTAGCAGTGACACAGTGAGCTCCACAGTGCCGGTTTCCAGACCCACTTCTA